AAGCAGTGGTATCAACGCAGAGTACTCGTCGCGGCCCTTCCGCGCCATATAAAACTTTACAGCAAAAAGCGATCGCAGGTCTTTTGCACTAATCAGCAAGGAAAATACCACAGAAAAGGTTTTCTGGCCTAAAGATTGCCAACAACTTTTTTCAGAAGCCTCTACTTTGAGAAAGCGTAACTTATCTTTGAATGAATTAGGATAAAGCAGACTTTGCTCATCGTGTAGCCAATGGTCTCTAGAGCAGTAATGCCAAGCTTGGATTTTACGGAAAAAAAAAGTGAAAGAAAATGTCGCGAAAAAGTCGAAAGTACTCACTTTTTTTCTGGCATTTCGGCGGATTCAAAAATCGGTCATTTTTGAAATTATTTCATTTATCTCCGCTGGAAAGTGGAAAAACCCTAGCGCTTTTCTACCATCAAATGTACTAGATCTACCCTTGCTGATTAGTGCAAAAGGACCTGCGATCGCTTTTTGCTGTAAAGTTTTACATGGCGCGGAAGGGCCGCGACGCTCATTCAAGTTTGCAATCGATTTTCTCGACTCAGAACCCATGGAAAATCTTGTTCAAACAGCATCTTGTAGCACAAAATTTCCTGATCCTTATGCATATTTTTTTTGTAATTAATCCGCTTATTTCCCATGGATTTAGGGCAAAAGCAATAATTTTAAGATTTAGTCTCTTTTATTTCAAGGCTCAGAGACTTGGAATGAACGGAGATATACGAAAGCGGAAACCCATACAAGATACTAGAAAAAACGCTCTTTCAGATAGCATAAAAGGTTTTTGAGGGATTTGATTACACCTCAAATACCAGCTCTTGGAAGATGAGATGAGAAAAACGTGCATCAATTATGAATCAACCTAATATTAGGTCGTCCCAAAAGTATTTTCGCTTTTTTTGAGCAAGCGCCACAGTCCGCAAAACAAAGGTTTACAGAAGCTCTTGGTAGCATTCGATGCAGTTTTTCATGCTCTTTCAAATGGGTCATCTCCATAATGCCGATGAAGCAACGAGCTATCAGAAAATTGCTATAAACTGCGAACCATGCTTTTACCAAGGTCAGGTTCAATAATTTTTTCTAAATTCTTGCGCTGATTCCCCGAAGAAGTTCAAGTAACCTGTCGATAGAGCAGACAAAGTAGGAGCAAAACAATTTTTGCCCCCTCTATAGCCGACTTTGAAAATTTTTTAAAATCATTTTTTCGATGCTATCAAATTCCATTTTTGGTCAACTTAAACCTCATAAAACAACAGCTGGCTAGCAACCGGGTATTATTCGACGCAGCATATTCTCCTCTTTCATAGACATGTTTTTTGTTCCTGATTGAGGAGTCTTGGAGGATGAAATCGACAAAATTCATGTTTTCTAAGGGACCTCAGGCTGTACCCGACAAATTGAAAATTAGGTCGTTTGAACTCCGGAACGCTCACTTGTTTCGAAAAATTAGTGCTGAATCCTAATCCACTTTGAAAGCATCAAAAATTGAGAATTTAGTGAAGTTTGACGAGTCTGCGTCTGTTATGGGACTCCTAAAATTTGATGGTGTTGTTCAAAATTCTGTCAAAAAATTATGGAAAGCCCTGGAAGGAGATCGAAACTGACTTGTATCCTACTTTCTTTGCTCTATCCGTAAGTTGCTTGGACTTCTTCGGGGGGTCAGTACACGATTTTAAAAAAATAGTGAAACCTGACCTTCGTAAAAAGCATGGGTCGCAGTTTATCGCAATTCTCTGACAGCTCATTATCTAATCTGCTAAATAAAGTTGATCATCTGAAAGAGCATGAAAAACTGCATCGAATGCCCCAAGAGCTTCTGTAAATCTTTGTTCTGCGCACTGTGGCGCTTGCTCCAAGAAAGCGAAAATACTTTTGGGACGACCTAATATATCTAAATTTAGTGGGTGTTTTATGCATTTTTGGATTCTATAAATGTTCGAAATTTCCTTGTAAGCCCAAACAAACTGATCCATTCTTTTAATGTGAGTGATCTTACTCTTTGCCAGTCGCAAGTGCCAAGCTTCTCCTGAAGTTCATCTCTCCATCGGGCCAGTATATCGAGTCGTGTTCTCTTCAGGG